AAATTCAATCCATTTACAATAAGTTACTATTTATTGCAGCTGTGTGTGACTGTCTCTCACTCTGTCTCTCACTCTGTCTCTCTCTGTATCTCACTCTTTCTCTCTCTGTCTCTCTCTCCGTCTCTCACTCTGTCTCTCACTCTCTCTCTCTCCGTCTGTCACCCTCTCTCTGTCTCTCTCTCTCACTCTCTCTCTCACTCTCTCTCCGTCTCTCACCCTGTCTCTCTCTCTGTCTCTCACTCTGTCTCTCTCTCTGTCTCTCACTCTTTCTCTCTCTCCATCTCTCTCTTTGTCTCTCTGTCTCTCTCTCTGTCTCTCCCTCCGTCTCTCTCTCTGTCTCTCACTCTTTCTCTCTCTGTCTCTCTCTCCGTCTCTCTCTCTCTGTCTCTCTCTCTCTCTCCGTCTCTCACCCTGTCTCTGTCTCTCTCTCTCACTCTGTCTCTCTCTCCGTCTCTCGCCCTTTCTCTCTCTCTGTCTCTCACTCTGTCTCTCACTCTGTCTCTCACTCTTCTCTCTCTCTGTCTCTCTCTCCGTCTCTCTCTCTGTCTCTCTCTCTCCGTCTGTCACCCTCTCTCTGTCTCTCTCTCACTCTCTCTCTGTCTCTCTCTCCGTCTCTCTCTCTGTCTCTCTCTCTCCGTCTGTCACCCTCTCTCTGTCTCTCTCTCTCACTCTGTCTCTCTCTCCGTCTCTCTCCCTGTCTCTCTCCCTGTCTCTCTCTCTGTCTCTCCTGCAGGGTTCTGCCTCGGCCAACGCGGCGCTCTCGGCTGCCAGCGTGGCTGCAGCCGTGGAGAACATGGTGGTCCCGGGGACTGACGGATGCTCGGAGACCGGAGCCGCTGCTTCACCTCCTGCTCCAACACCCCCTGCTGCTGCTGCACCCCCCGCCCCCCCCGCACCCCCGCTCCGCAAGGCCAAGACCAAAGAGGGCAAAGGTGACATGACGACTAGTGATGGGAATTACGGGTCTTTGAAGGGACTCGGATCTTATGGCTCCGTTCCTTAACGAGAGCCGTTCAAAAGTGGCGGTGGAGATTATTTGTTGACCATGTTTTAAATTATATTTTGGCTTTACTAATGTTGCACTCCGCTTTATCATTGCCTATGTTTTTGTTGAAGTGCATCCAAATGCTGCTGCGTTTGGCACATTTTTTCACCCGAAAAACACGTTGTCTACCTGTACCGCTCGTTATGACTTCTCTCTCTCATGCGTATTCCGTTAAAACCCACCCCTACTCTGATTGGCTAATTCTAACCCACAACATCTCACTCCTCGTACCCAAACCTAACCAATCAGAGGCACTCCTGCTTAAACCTAACCAATCAGAGGCACTCCTGCTTAAACCTAACCAATCAGAGGCACTCCTGCTTAAACCTAACCAATCAGAGGCACTCCTGCTTAAACCTAACCAATCAGAGGCACTCCTGCACCTAACCAATCAGAGTAGGGACGGGTCTTCACGGAATACGCTTGGGGAACAAAATGAAGCTTTTTCACTGTTCACGTGAAGGCGAGTGGAGTTATGGCAGGCAGTGAACCAACGATAAAAAAAACAGATCGTTCGTGAACGTAACATCACTAATGATAACTAAGCATGAAAATAAGGTGGTTTGGTATTTGTTAAAATAAAGAAATCAAAGTAAAATAAATCATACCGATACAAATTAAACATTACATACTGTATAATGCCGTTCTGAAGTATTTTGTGATTGAAGTTTCCTCTCTGTGTTTTCTCAGGTCCAAACGCTCGCAAGAAGTCAAGGCCCGCTGCGAAGCCTGCACCGAAACCCAAACCTAAGAAGGTGGCTCCGCTCAAGATCAAACTAGGAGGCCTGAACAGCAAGAGGAAGCGCTCATCTGTAAGACTTTTTATCTGCCCTTTTCTGTCTTTGAGACTTCAGATTTCAATTTAGGCGATCATTAAACCAGTCAGTTTTGTTTATATTACACATTTGTCTCAAGGGGCTTTAGAGAGTATGAAACATGACAGACTCAAACTAGGAGGCCTCAACAGCAAGAGGAAGCGCTCCTCCCTAAGTTACTTGTTATGCTACCTTTTTTCAGTGTTACACAGCAGATTTACGTTCTCCACTTAGAAAATCATTAAATCAATACATTTTATTGACATAGCCCAATATCACAAATTACACATTTTCATTTTTTCAATTTAGACGAACATTAAACCGGTCAATTTAGTTTATAGCGCCTTAAATCACAGATTACACATTTGTCTGTAGGGGCTTTACAGATTATAAAACATAGACAGCCTCCGTCCTTAGACCCTTGCGAAAGGAAATACTCCCACAATTAATGGGGCAACATTTTAGAAACTTCAGGGACAGAAACTTCAGATGAGATGGAAGACGTGCAACAGATTTTGTGTACAGATTAAAAAACCCTAAAGAAATGAAAACATACACAGCAGTGATCTGCTGTGTCCCTTGTGATCCTTGCACATTACTGCTGTAACTGTATTTATTCTTATTTATACATTTGACATCTATTTACCTTTATTCGTATCATTTATTTTGTACAGACTGCTGATTAGGGATGCCAGCGATTGTTCGAATATTCGTTACAGTCTCCATAATCGAAAATTATTTTTAAAATTCGATCTTATTTATATATTTTTTTTATTAGTATTTATGTTTTTTTTTCTTCTACTGGCTTAGTTTCAACCAAAATATAGACTAATGCTAATAATAGTATTAATAATTGTAAATGGCCATTGGTCACACCACCAGTTTGCTTTACTGTAAACTTGGAGGAAGCCAGCAGCGCAGAGTGCAGACTGCTGCACCCTGCGGGCGGGCGGACAGCGTCGAATAATCGATTATTATTCGCCAGGGCTGTCCGATTTTCGATTTTGATCATGGTCAGTTTCTGGCATCCCTACCTCCTACATCCAGGACATGGTTAAACCGTACACCCCAGCA